AGCCGGAGTTAAACCATGACAAGGATGCATCTTGATGCACAGAAAGTGGATGTTGGCTTGGACAGAAAGGAAAAGAAAACAAAACAAAGCAAGTGCGTTTCGGTGCGTGTGGGAGCGGATCTGTAATCAGAGTGATGGGTTTTCTTTTCAGAATAATCAGTGCATTCCAGCGGGGTTGGAAAACTACTACTCCGAACAAGACTCCAGTGCTCGAGGGAAGTTTTACACAGTCATAAACCACTACAACCTGGCCAAACAAACCATCACGCGCTCCGTGTCGCCCTGGATGACGGTACTGTCAGAAGAGAAACTCTCTGAGCAGGAGACGGAAGCCGCCGAGAAGTCGGCTTAGCACGATACGCTCATTATTAACACGATGTCATTTGAAGGTAGCTAAGGGACTTAAGGAACTTTTCATTAAATATAAATTACGGATAATTTAGAGGTTACTCATGTTTATGGTGCAATTGCTTCTGTTTGCTGATACTGCTTTGCAAAAAACCCCCAAAACACCCAAACAAAAACTTGCTGCAGAACAGTGATGGGCATAAAACAAGGTGCATATCGGCGTCGCTTTAGAGCTCTGACACCATTCTCGATGTTAAAAAAATCCAAATGTTAGCTATGTTCCTGCAGTTTATTGGATACTGACAGTTTTCTTTGCTGGGTTTTCAGGGCTTGGACCTTAGATAAGTCACACGTTCCGTTGTCTCAACTGATACTTTATTTATTAATTTTTCCGTTCTTTGTCGTTTTGCAAACTGAAACACCTCAGCCATAACTAGAGTGATGTCTCGTTTAGCTGAAAGCTGTGTTTGATACTTAGTTTTGGCTCAGGCAAGAGTGATAGTCAGCACTGGTGTCAAGGGCGTGCTGTAATGACCTGGACAGGGAAAGAAGCTGTCAGGTGGTGTTTTTCTTACCTTTTTCTTTACTGTTGTTTATTTGTAAGTGATAATGAGGTTCTCTGCAACAAGGCATGCTCAGTGTTTTATTATTGCTGTCAACAGGATTTAACTGCGTTTCCACTGTGGCTTTAGCATCTCGGTAAGGATGTGCACTGAAACACAAACTAGGTAGACATTATGGAAAAACACAGACAGTTTTAGTGAGGGATGTTGAGGATAGTGTGAAAAATGCACAGCTCAGGATGTTCTAATGACATCTTGAGAGGCCGAAAGCCAACTCACAGTAGCTGTAGTCCACTATGTAACTTGTTGGATGTGACAGAGGGAGTAATATGTCTAAATTTTCTCTTTCATTAACATTTTCCATTTATTGTTAGGGCTTTCAGTTTATGTGTGGTTTGCAGCTCGCTACTTTTAAAACACAGAGCATCACAAGTGAGCCAGTAGGGTCTGAGAGGCACAGCTGGCTGTCCTGAAGCTGCAGGTGAAACTGAGTACAGCTGTTGACGTATGGCTTGGGAGGGGGCAAAGGTGTAGAACATAGCACTGGGGGTGTGCATTGAAGTTCCATTGTAACTGCAAACTTCTCTCTTTGTTGTGTGTAACCACGTTTTCATTTTTCTAAAAATCTTATCTATTCCAGAAATGACCTCTTACTAACTTATCAGAGTAAGTGTGTGAAGCATCTGGGCAAGTCACCTTCTTTATTCATAACCAGAGTGGGTCACGGTGCAGTGGACATGTCAAAAGTTAATTTTTGGGTTTGTTTTTGGTAGAGACATTACAAAAAGGAAGGGAAAACATCAGTAGGGGCTGCTTCTCACGGGCTGCAGTAGAACAGACATGGGCAGCTATACTTTTACACTTCTCCAGCTGGATTGCTTTATCCACAATACACAGTAAAAATAACCATTCTTATTTCTCTAGGTTTGCTGTGAAGTGTGCATTACCCAGTCATACCTGTAAAAGGCTTTTTATTAAGTCATGATGATATGTGGAGTGCATAAAAAGCAATAAGTTATGTGCCAAATTATTCTTTGCATTTAAAAATTTCAAGTTTATGTTAAGATACTCCAAATGTACCGTGTTTGCATTTTCCAGTGGACAGATGCTGTACATGCGAATTAATGACATTGGGTAACTTTTGACATTTTCACTCTGAATGAAGAGTAAGGACGATGCTGCTTCTTGCTTGCGATGTACAGAAATACACGTTTCAGGAAAGAGATAGCAAAACCCACATTTCGTATCGGCGTGTTTGCAGACTACGTGCTGATTTTACTAGAAGGAAAGACCTGTTCCCAAAGGCTGTCCTACACTGGAATGATTTGTGACATCATCTCCCCTCACATTTAGGACAATAAAATATTTAGTGCACAAGTAAATATGGATGAGACACAACTTATTTGTCTCTCTTACAACAGTAAGCATTAAAAAAGACTAAGGTTTACCGTCTAGGAGAAACAGATTGCTTACGCTTCTGTAAGTCAAAACTGTTTTTCCTTCTGATGTACCAGGAAGGAGTTTATTGACTATTATTTACAGTTGATTTTGAGACTCTCTTAGTTGACAAATTGTTCCCAATTTTAGTACTTTGAAGAGTTTGGCTTTAATACTGTCTGTCCTTTGGCTTTGTTCCAGCATCCCAGAACATCTGTTCCACTGCACAAGCTGTTTGTGTTGTATTCTCTCTCTTTTCACCTAGAAGTAAAGCTCTTAAGTTGACTTTTTACCATTATTATGACCATTACATCAACCCGATCATCTGACTGGAGTAGTTTCCAAGGAGTAGAAGTAGAGGCCGTACGTGTGCGAACTGATGCCTGTGTACTGAAGTGGTCTGTTTAAATAAAAGCCTGAGACAGCGCAGATGCTTTTGCACGGTAACGGTTTTCTCTCCACATGGCCTGCGCGCTGGACTCGAGACACCACGGGGGGGGCGGGGCTGATAAAACCGACACCGTTTTTTCCTTCTGCTAGCTCTGCTCGAGCCTGTGGCTTTCTTACCAGCTCTTTCCATGTTCTGTGTGGGATTAAGCCTGGTGGTGTGTTCAATAAAGGGATTTCAAACAAATAGAATCATGGAATGGTTTGGGTTGGAAGGGACCTTAAAGACCATCTAGTTCCAACCCCCCTGCCATGGGCAGGGACACCTTCCACTAGACCAGGTTGCTCAAAGCCTCATCCAGCCTGGCCTTGAACACTTCCAGGGATGGGGCATCCACAGCTTCTCTGGGCAACCTGTGCCAGTGGATATACTGGAATACTGTCAGCACCCTCTGCACTAACAGATACATACATATGTATTTCCTGGAAAACACTTTCATCAGAGCAGCAGGAAAAAACGCTGAAGACCCACACGTACGCCATACACCCCGCTCCAGAGGGAAAATGTCAGAAGTTTTACCAACGAGAAGCATGTAGACAATATTAGATCCTTTTATTAATTATCATACCAGTCCAGGAAAAGCAAGGAAAAGGAACACATCACAAGGAAGAACAGGATCCAGACTCTAAATCCAGCATTGTTTTTGATGGCCTGTGAGGAAAAAAGTTACCTCCATTACCATCACCAGTAAACACACAGCAGAATTCCAACACTGGCAAACCAGGGTGACTATTGGAGGCGTCACCCTTCCCTCCCACAGGAGAAAGAACAAACCTTGCTGTTAACTTCAGGTGAAGGAAAGCCAGGTTGGCTTTGCCTCTTCAGGGTTATCACACTGAAGTTTCTCTCAACATCTTAAAACTGGTCATTGAACCAAAACACACCACCCCCACCCCACACACAGTAGAAACACACTGAAAACCTTAAGAGCTACAGCAAAACATACACACTCAAAGGCTGGTTTTTCAGTTCCACAAGTGAAATTCTGTGATGAGACAAAAAAAAATTGGACTCTCACCATTCTACTAAACATCTTCTGACTGAAAAACCTCACCCAAAACCTGACAGCTATTTCTGGGGGTTGGTTTAGCACCATCAGTCACATATCTCGGTCTCAAAGCAAGTACAGCAAGTGTTCTTCTGGATTCTCCTTCCCAAAACCGGAAGTGGCATATAGCAGGGGACCTGGTTTTTTTCCCCTCATTTCTCAGATGTGCACATGGAATATATTTTTTTCCATGCGATGTGAACATTAGTGTGAGTGATGAAGTTCTCTATTTACCAGCCTGCTCTACTGTTTCTCTCTCTGGTGTGAGAAACTTGGTTCTACCTACAGATGTGACAAATGAAGCCAAAATAACTTCAGTTCATGCTGTGTCTGAGGCACGTTTCAGGAGAGCTGAGCAGTAGATCACTCTTCCTGGAGTTACATGTTCTGTAACTCGTGCTTCCAGGAGGCAGAAAACCCTGAGCCATTTACTCATTAGCCTAATTTAGGAACTCTTTTTATTGAAATCTCACTTCCTGAAAGAAAACACCATTTAATTCTAATTAGTAAGACAATGGGATGGGTTTCATAGAATCCTACAACAGTTTGGGTTGGAAGGGACCTTAAAGACCATCTAGTTCCAACCCCCCTGCCATGGGCAGGGACACCTTCCACTAGACCAGGTTGCTCAAAGCCTCATCCAGCCTGGCCTTGAACACTTCCAGGGATGGGGCATCCACAGCTTCTCTGGGCAACCTGTCCCAGTGCCTCACCACCCTCTCCGGGAAGAACTTCTTCCTGATATCTAATCGAAACCTCCCCACTTTCAATTTAAACCTGTTACCCCTTGTCCTGTCACTACGGTCCCTTGCAAAAGTTTGTGCACTCGGTGCACGAGCTGCGTTCAGCACAGTAAAGAGAATCCTCCGCTAACGCTCAGCGTTTACTCCAGTTTTGACCAGTTCAGAACTCCCTTCTACTGGCAGTCTGCAACATCTCCCCCTTTTCTTCTTTTAACCTTCACAGCTGCTTAAACACATCCCAGCTGACCTTCCTGTTTAAAACCAGGTGAAGCCACGTAGCTTCCTGCAGACACCTGTTCCGTTCGTGGTGAGCCAGACAAGCAATGCAAACGGCCCCCGCCAACCTGCGGTGCCTCTCCGAGCGCATCCCGGGGCCCCAGCACAGACTGTGCTGCTGCTGCGGGTGAGCTGGGGCAGCACCGAGAGCTGCAAGAAAGGGCCGCCTTTCAAACACCGCCTGGAGACATTACCTCTCGTATGTCTTCGTTGCCTTCCTTGATGTTCTCTGTTGCCCCAACGACTAACTGGTGGATATTGTCAATATCCGTTTCCTGTTACGGGGAATAAAATTGAGACACATGGTGAGCGTTAGGCAAGAAATGTTTCTAAGGGCTTGGGAACAAGCAAAACTCAGAATCTGGTACTGCTGACATCTCAGTTTCATTGGTGCAAAGGTACAGAGGCAATTAAGCTGTGATTTCAGCAGCCTGGATGGAGACCACCAGGATGAACAGGGAGTCTCCCATTTATCTGGAATCGAATCTAACCCGTCTGATTTTTGCCAGCTTTTTTGGAAGAGGTGTCAGTGTTTCCAGAAAAGATGCCATTAAGGAACACATTTAACAGGACACTAACTGGGAGGCAGAATGTCACACTTTCCTTTCCCAGTGTGTATTGATAAGGAACAACAGTAAATACCTCGATTTTCTATTTGAAAACCAAAAATCATTTCCCTTGCGTTTGCATCAGATTCATTAAACTTATGTTTACATTTGCATGCAACCAAGGCCAAAACACCCTCAAGAAAGTCCTCAAGCTGTATTTGCTGCTGTAGTATGAGGTTATACTGACCTGTTGCAAGACTTTTTCCGTGAATATCTCATGTAATCTGGAGATTTCCACCACTTTTCCTTCGATTTGCCTTGGCCAAGAACAGAAACACGCCATTAGAAGTGAGCAGAGACACCGCGTGCCCCTGCCAATT